TGATGGTGGCTGTGGTGGTGGTGATGGTGGTGGTTGTGTGGTGGGTTGATGGTGGTGGTGGTGGTGGTGGTGGTGGTGGGATGAGGCGGTGGTGGTGGTGGTAGTGGTGGCGGTGGTGGTAGTGGTGGTAATCGTGGCTGCGTCCCCGCCGTCGCTGGCGCCAGCGCCGGAGCTGCTGGCCGCCGCCAGCGCCGGTGCCGGCGCCAGCTGGCGCCCAGGAGGGGGGGTTGAAACCCCCCTCACCCCCCCCCTTGGGTTGCCTCTGGTCATCGTTGCTGCGTCCCCGCCGTCGGCGCTGCTGGCGGCCGCCAGCGCCGGCGCCGGGGAGGGGGGGGGGTTTGAAACCCCGTCCCCCCCCCCCCTTGGGAGGAAGGGGGGGGGGTTAGGGAGGGGGGTGGGGGGGAGGGGAGCCCCCCTGGTTTTGATCGACGGCGCCGAGTGTTGGGAGGGGGGGAGGGCCCACCCCCTGGTTCGAAACGCGCCGCCACATGTTCCCAAGGCAAGCGCCCGTGAAACGCGTTCTCTCAACCGTTTTCATAGGCCGCCGCCGTACACATCGAAGCCCAGCCTTGAGATGATTCCAGCGAGGACCCCAAACAGCGGATTTACACAATAGATGTGGCGATTGCTTTTAGTGGCGCGAATCGCCCGTCATCGGCAAGCACTGCAGTCTCTGAGGGACAGATGCAGCACGGTACAACGCGATAAACAGAAGCGCGAACTGCAATGAAGCAGGTGCAACCCGATGAAAATCAGTGCAATGTACTGCAAGGCGATGCCACATATCGCAAATCAGTGCGAAATGCGAAATGGCAGTAACACTTAGGACCGCACCGAAAAACACAGTGCCATCACTGGCCGCACCCCTTTGCGAAACCCACGGGTGCAACTGATGGCAGCACCGACAAATCAGCGACACCCTCGGCCGCAACCCATGGATGCAACTTATGGCAGCACCAAAAAAATCAGCAGCACCCCGGACCGCAGCACATGGGCGCAATTGATGGCTACACCGGCCGATCAGCGGCCCCCCTGGCGGCAACATTTTTTGCGTCGCAGCGCGGCAGAGGCAGTCCGCACGCGCGTCAACGCAACCAGGGCTACGGCATTGCGAACGCACACCCGGCCGCAACGCATAGGCGCAATGTGTGGCTGGACCGAAGAAGGACTGCAGCACCCTTGGGCGGAGCCGATGGCGGCCGTGTCCCACACCGACGAGCATCACGGCGTGGCTTAGCAGCCCGTTGTCGCGGACGACGGTTGCGAGGAAGCCGCAGGCGCCTCGGGTGAGAAAGAGGAAGACGTGGTGAAGTGCATCGACGGGTGCATGCGGGGGAGCCTTGCGGGATCTGATCGTCCGTGCCGACATCGACGATGCGGGGGGACCTTGTGAGAGCCGAGGTCCTCGTGGCGTTCTGCCCTGAGGAAATATTTCGGAGGCAGACCCTGAAGGAGGAGCCGCCGTGGCGGACCGCGCGCATCAGCTGCCGAAGAATCCGAGCTGACCGCGAAAATGCATGCCGTGAGGGGGCAGGTGCGAGCGCTGCGCTCGTCGCGTCGGCCTGCGCGGATCGCCGAGGCGCGGCTCGCGGCGCGGCAGCGGGGCGGCGGTCTATCGCCTCAGTGCCAGCATGCTTGCGTTTGCATTCGGCTCGCGTCCCTGCGTCTGCCTGCTGCCCGCATCCTTGCGTCCACGAGTTGGCCAGTGCCCAGTGGCTGAGGGCAGAATGCCCTGTGGCCCTGGTGTGGGTGGTCGCCCTTTGCAGATGGCTCGGAGGTTTGCCGCTAGCGTTTCAGCCGTCGGACTGGATACCCTGGGTATCTCCATCTGGCGTCTACTCCAGGGGGGGCGCGTGACTCCATGTGTCATGTGTACTCGAGCTGGGTGGAGGGTGACCCTGGCGCCCAGAGAGCAGAGGCAGAGAACAGGGTGGGGTGGTGTGCCAGGCCGAGTGGGTGCGACAGCAGCGCAGCCAGAGTGGGGCGAAGCGTTCTTGCTTCATTCCTCATCTTTCATTGTGTCCCGGGAAGGATGGGGTTGGAGGAGGGAGTGATGACAATGACGGTGATGTTGATATGATGATGATGATGATGATGATGATGATGATGATGATGATGATGATGATGATGATGATGATGATGATGATGATGATGATGATGATGATGATGATGATGACGATGATGATGATGATGATGATGATGATGATGATGATGATGATGCTTATTATTATTATTATTATTATTATTATTATTGTTATTATTGTGTTGATGATGCTATTGATGGTGACGATGATGATGGTGATGATGGTGGTGATGATGATGTTGAGGATGATGGTGATGGTGATTTGTTGATGATGATGATGATGGTGATCTTGATGATGGTGATGGTGATTGTGATGATGATGCTGATGATGATAATGATGGTGATGATGATGATGATGATGATGATGATGATGATGATGATGATGACCATGACGATGACGATGACGATGATGATGAGGAGGAGGAAGGAAGGAAGGAGGAACAAGTTGGTTGCTCGACGTGCGCGGTGTTTGACGTGATACTGTCCAAGAAGGTTCGAACCTTTGCAGCGCGTGCGGGCACGCAGCAGAGATGGCGTCGCCGCAATGTGTCATGTTGCCTTTGCTACGAGGGGTCTAGTAACCCGTGTAGGTTCACGTGCACAGTGACCAGTATTGCGCGGGCGTTTCCAAGTCGAGATACTCTCCCCTTGACAGGAAGCCACCATCAGTGGGAAACAACAAGACTCGGAGGGCGTCGAGCAGGTCTTGATCATCTTATGGCAACGAAGTCAGGGGTCCCCATGCTGGCGGAGCACGCGCGCAGCTGTTTGTTTCAGCATGCTGGTTCAGGAGCCACACGAATCCTACCTCGGCCACCTTCGAGCGTCAGAGCGCCGCTGATCGAGCGCATGCGCGGGCAGCCCCCAAGGAGAACGGCGCAAAGCGCGGCGTGGTGCGGGGTGCAAGCAGCAGCTCTTGTCACGCGCGCAGCGTAGAGGGCGGCGCGCACGGGCGAGCTCGTCTCGGGCCTTTACCTGCGATGGCAATCGCATGCGCGTCATGTAAGACGGCTATGCGGGAGCACAAGTTGCAAACGACACGCAATTACTGTCCGCATGAGATGGGGATGTCTGAGGCGGTTCAGAGGGATCCACAGTCGACATCATGTCCACGTATGCATGGGGCGGGGCATGTAGACGCTTTGCTAGAGCATTGCCGGCGGCGCCTGCATCACTGGTCACCGCGGATTCTTCGCATTCGTACTGCAAGGGATTCAACTGCTGGTCTGTTGCGAAGTGGATCCGCAGTGCCTGAGCCCGGCCTCGCATTCAACTCGCAGCGGACGTCGCTCGACAATACCCGAGGGAAGGTGCGCGCCTGATAACTGGCTGGCTAGCACGAGACCCGGGGCCAGCTTCGCCGCGGCCGAGTCGTGCACATGGCCAATGCGATCGCCGACGCGACCATGCGGGAGGCCGAGGAAGATGGGGAGGACAATGATTGTGAGGATGCGGGCGCGGGCGCAAGCATGAGAGCGAGCATTCTAAAGCTGGAGGCGAAAGGCAGAAAGCTCGAACACCAACGCCTGTCCACAGCGCCGGGCGCCGTTCCCGCGCAAGAGCCCAGTGGCCAAGACTGCAATCAATTTGTACCAGGATTTTGTCGAGAGGCGCAATGAGCAGCCCGACGAGGACATCGGCGCGCCGATCTTCCACGGTTTCTACGCGATTATCTGAGGCTGGAGAAGTTCGCGGACATGTTGGGGCGCAGGCGGCGGCGTCCGGTTGGGCCGGAACGCGTGAGGATTATATTAGATAAGGGCAGTCTGGAGGACGCGACATGTTGGGTGTTGGACGTGATCCGATTGCCCTACTAAGACAAGTCTGGGAGGGACGCGAAGAGGAGGGACACCTTCCATTTGGACGGGCACACACTTCTACACCCAGACGAAGTCTTCGAACGCCAGGAACTGGATCCACTGGCGCAGGACATCCGTCCGATCGAGCAGATATTTCCGAATGAAGTCCTCACGCCCATGCTGACGACAAACGGCAGCATCGCTACGAGAAGGAGGACATGTCATGAGGTCTTGCTTGCAGCAAGGGGCTAATTGATGGCCAAGCACCGAGATACCACTTACCACGCAGTCTCGGAGGGTGTCGTAGGCGTTGGGCGCTCCTCCTGAACTTGAGCTGATCTCTCCCCTGGGCTGGTGCAGCTCTACTGGGGTCGCGCCAGGAAGCGCTCGTGCCCGCTGCGGGGCATTGCCATCCCGTTGGCTTGCGGCAGCTGTGCCGTTCGGCGCAGTTTATTCCCGAAGTTTGCTCCGCTCGCCCTGCCCCTCTTTCCCGTCTGTGGCCCTGAGTGGGGGCGCCTGGAACCGTTACGCTGCAGCCTTTGCTGGTCATTTCGTGTGTACTGGCCTGGCCGAGCCCGCCCTCGCGGGCACCGCTGCAAGTGCACCAGCCACTGTGATCGCTAGACGCACTTCGCTAGCAGAAGCAGCACGCAGAGCCGTGGTATGGGTTACCTTCGGCCCTAACAAGGGCAGGGTGTGAAATGCGTTTGGACGATGCATCGATTCGTTCTCGCGGAATGGCTTCAATCATTGGTTGTGAACGAAAGGGTGGCAGGAGGAGGAGGAGGAGGAGGAGGAGGAGGAGGAGCGTTTGGAGGAAATGGGAGGAAGACGAGGAACGAGGGGGAGGAGGGCGAGGAGGAGGAGGAGGACCTTCCACGACCCGCCTAGAACACCCCATTTGTCCTCCAGGCACTTTCTCTCTGCTGCTTTCTCCTCGCCCCCGATCGAGGATTTGGTGGCACGGTTTTTGCAGAGGGGGTGGAGGAGGAAGAAGTCTCCTCAGTCTCCTCCCCGTCTCCCCCCTTCCTCCGTCCTCCTCGAGGAGGAGCATGGGGAGAAGGTGCACAGGGCTGCCACCCCGAAGCCGCACGCCCATCGGCCGCGAAGCCCCGCAGGCTCGGTCGGGGACGTCGGGGTCCACGTCTCCCCCGCAGTCGCCGTCCGCGTCGCAGGACGAGGCGTCCTCCCCGCGCCCTCCGGGGAGGCGACAACGACAGCACGAGGGTTGGTACGTCGTGTTAGTGTCGTGTCGACGCGGCGGCCGCCCCAGCGCGGGCGTTCAAAGTTGAACGCCGCCAGCGGCCCAGAATCGGTTGATAAGTAGCACCCCGCAGATGCGGATAAGAGTGAGGGGGGCGGTGTGGACGTTGGCAGTTTGCGAGACTCTGGAGAAGCCTGCCGCAGGCGCCGAAGTTTCACAAATCATACTACGAGCCCGCCGCAGGCGCAGATTTTTTCGTTAAACCAATGTGGGTCGGTCGCGGGTGGGTCGCAAATGGGTCGCGGGTGGGTCGTTGTTGGATCGCGGGTGGGGCGCGAGCGGGTCGCGGGTGGGTCGCGGGGTGGGTCGCGGTGTGGGTCGCAAGTGGGTCGCAAGTGGGTCGCGGGTGGGTCGCGGGTGGGTTGCGGATGGGTCGCGGGCTGGGTCGCGCTCGCATGCGCTCACCGCGCCCATTTTAGCACACCCTTCACACGTTTGGTGGCCCCATAGGGGGGCCCTCCGAAGGCCCAGAAGCCAGCGCGCGCGTACGCTCACCACACCCATTTTGGCACGCCCCTCACACGTTTCGTGGCCCCACAGGGAGCTCCAACGAAGACCCTATTTCCAGCGCTCGCATGCGCCCACCGCGCCCATTTTGGCACACCGCTCACAGCGTCGTGGCCCTACAGGGAGCTCCACCGAAGGCCCAGTTGCCAGCGCGCGCGTACGCTCACCACACCCATTTTGGCACGCCCCTCACACGTTCCGTGGCCCCACAGGGAACTCTGCCGAAGGCCCAAATGCCAGCGCTCGCATGCGCCCACCGCGCCCATTTTGGCACACCCCGCACACGCTCCGTGGCCCCATAGGGAGCTCCACCGAAGGCGTTGCTTACATCGGCAGTACCCACAACTGCATATGGTTGGCTGTATCGCCAGGCTAACTTTTCCTCGTCGCTCCGGTGGTGCTCCGTGTTCTCTCCGCGGGCGTCGTTTGATTCCCCGCGACGTTGGATGGCGAGGTCATGGACAGATAGACAAGTTGTTCGACATCTGCTGTCGACATCTGCTGACATTGCAGGGCGGTTGCGGATCTGGCAGCCTGGCCTGCGGCCAAGGCGTTCGGGGTTCTTTGGGTCCCTCCTTCGGCTTTTCTCTAGCTCTTCGTGCACCTGGAAAGGTGCAGTATCCAAGGTTCCATATGGCAAGGATTTGTTGGACGCCCGGAGATTCAGAGCCACCATCACATAGCCATCTCCTCTCCTGGAGGACGAGGGAACGCAGCTCGCGTTGCGTGGAGAACGCAACGTTTCGGGTGGGCTTTCAGAAGCGGTGTTGGTAGTTTTGAGGGGAGTGCGCTGCCTCCGAATCCGCCACCATCCTTCTTCCCCTGCACATGTATCTCATTCTGCGTGGCCCTCTCTGTTGTCTCCCCTGCTCTGCTGTTAATGTTGCAGTATCCGCTCGAGGTGACATGTGTAGAAGCATCGGTCATATGCGCGACCCGTTGCGTGTGTACCGCCGTACACACTCTTCCGGCAGGTGCCAAGATCGCCCAGCAGCAAGGGCACCGCGCCGGAGTGGCTCGGCTGCTTGCGCGCCGGAACGCCATAGCGACGGGGTTATTGACAGCACCCCGTCTGACCGACATCTCCTTTATTTTTTTCTCGCTGGCATGTGCCGTTACCCGATGGGGTGGGGCTTTCAGTCGTCGTTTCATCGGCGAAGCCTTTGTCTCCTGCTCTGTCGGTCTCAGGGCTCCCAGTAGATCAGGGGCGGTCTAACCGACCCCTAGCAAACCATCCCCTTCCGTGATTTCCCCCTCGCCTCGCCCCCAGACATCTGTATGAAGCCGGAGAGGAGCTCGAACGGCGAGGACGACGTCACGGAAGAGAATGGTTTGCTACGCGTCGGTTAGGCCTCTCCTGAGTAGAACGCGCCTGGCCTCTTCGTGTCCCACCAGTCTTCTTCCCACATTGCCTTTCCACCCTTCGTTGGCTGCCTATCCTCTTGCCTCCTGCCGCCCTTCTCTCCCGCAGCTTCTGACCTTCAGGCCTCCCAGTCCTGCTCCACCCTCCTCCCTCTGTCGGTCTTGAGGCCGCGCTGCTCACCGAAATCCTCTTGCCTTCGGCCGTCCGCTCTAGACGAGCTGTTTCGCTACCCCCACGACGACGGAGGAGGCAGCGAGGGAGGGTGGACGATGCGAGAGATGGATGCAGAGCGGGAAGGATAGATGGAGGCAGGGAGTGAGTGGGTGTGTGAGCGGGGGACAGAGGGGGCAGTAAGAAGGAGGCGGATGATGCTGCGCACAACCAGCGGATTACTTTGCTAGTGAACTGCTTCACGAGGTGGGCTCGTCTGCATTTGTTGGTGGCGAGGGCCCGTGTACCACCCCCTTTCGGATTTCTCTGTTCTGTTGTTCTGTTTCCCCCCGGTGACAGAGACTGCGCATACTGGGGTGTACCCCGATAACTCCCGCGTGCCTCGCACGGTATTATCGCAGACGCGGCGGGTCGCACGTTGTTGCCGATTGCGGTGCCGCACGCTTGCGCGTGTGCGCCATCGATGCCATGTCCACCGCGCTGGCGGATTGGTGTTGTGTCACGATGTCGATATCGGGCCGTCGTGAGGTGCGTCTTCGAGCATGCTCTACGTTGATGTTTGTATGCATGCGTGTGTTGCTGGGTTTCGGTTCTGGCAGCCGTCGCTTCCTCGCCGCTCGCCTGCTGTCTTGGCGTTCCACCTTGCGGAATCGCTCTTGCGGCCGTCTTCCTGCCACCGCGTTGCACAGTTGTTCCCTCCTGTCGCGCCATTATCAGGTGGCGCTTGCATGGCCGTGTATGCCCCCCTTGCTCTGCATCTAGCATCTAGCGGTCAGCGCCACCCCATCAACAACGCTTGTGGTGATTCTCCTTAGCGGCTTCGCTAATCTTTCGCTGTGCTAGACCAACCGACTGGGAAGCAACGACGTGTGTGCGTGTCCCTTCTTGCATCTGCACAGAGTTCAGTTTCTGCAACTTTGCGCGAAAGACGGCGCCACTCTTGTCATGGGGCCCACTAGGCCTTTCCTCATTGGCCCAAGTTGTCAGCCATTCATCATGATATGTTCGTCATCCTTGCTCAGTCTGGTAACCATACTTGACAAAACTCGGGTCCGGGACGGAGTTTGTCAGCCGCCCAAGTCATCTCGTTTTTGTTCGCGCTCTGGCGCCGCAAGCCAGGTTGATCGCCAACCATGCGCCTACGACGGGACTACTACACTCCAGGCCCCACCTCCTATGGTTGGCCAGAAGGAGCAGCACCATCCAGGGGGAGGGGGGAGGTCAAGAGGGACTCGGGCGACGAGAACAATGCAAACACACAAACACGTACACACCTGTCATGGCCAGGCCAGTCTTGGGCCCAGGATCGTTGTGCATGCCTCCCTGGGCAAGCCAGGAGGGCGTCTGGACCGATCCAGGGCTCAGGATGAGATTGACCAGGATCGGTATCTGCGCATAGTTCTCGTCGTTCTAGGGGCGCAGCCAGCCCTGCTGAGGGACGGGGTGCGGGATTTGGTTTGCAATGCGCTGGGAGAGGGGTATGTCACTCTATGAGCGGGAGGATGGAGGATCTCATGAGTGAGAGATAAGACGACGGCGAAATGGAGGAGGAGGTACCGATCAGCTGGTGGAGCGGTATTCGGGAGGGGCGGGGCGAGAATATGGGACACCTCCCTCGCGCGGGCAACGGCGCACCATCGAGGAGTGAGCATGGAGGAGGGGCGGGAGAATTAGTGACATGTCTTCGGCGTCCCTCAATCGCGCCATCGAGGACTGAGGATGGAGGAGGGGTGGGAGAATTTGTGACATGTCTTCGGCGTCCCTCCCCTGCCTCCAATCCAGCGGGGGCGCAGGGCCATGGCCCCCGAGCTCGCGCAAGCGCCCCTGGCCCTGGAGGCGTGGGAGGCACCGTGGCCTCGACTCGTTCTCCAGCGGGCTCCGGCAAAAGGGCGCCATATGGGGGCGCCGGGCGTCGGCTCCAGGGATAGACCCCGCGCCGGCCCTGAAGATTCGGCGGGCGACGACGACGACACGAGCCCGGGGGGGGGGAACGAGCGACAAGGCGAATCTCTGCCTGTGCTCGGCTGGACAGGAGATAGGAAGAGCGATGGGGGAGGGGGAGCAGAGGGGAGGGGGGGGGAACAGCGGGGGGGGGGCGGGGGGCAGGACCGCACCGCGCAGTATTGACACTGACGGTCTCTCGCGCGCCTGCGTTCGCCTGTTGGCGGTCGCGGCCACCACTATTGAAGAGGAGGAGGAGGAGGAGGAGGAGAGGAGGAGGAGGAGGAGGAGGAGGAGGAGGAGGAGGAGGAGGAGGAGGAGGAGTAGAGGAGGAGTAGAGGAGTATGGAGAGGAGGGGGGGCGGAGGAGGGAGAGAAAAAGGACAAACGCAGCGAACAGATGCGGACCAGGAGGAGTGGGGGGGGGCAGGGGCAGCAAGTAAGCGCGAATGGGCCAGACTGGGGGGCGGGCGGAGGCAGTCGTGGGCGTCTCGTAGTCGGCGATCGCCAGTGTCTCCCCCAGCGGGGCTCGCATCCTGCTGTTTTATCCGGGAAAGTCTTGATGCTCAAACTGCGTTGTTGGCCCCTGCACTTCCACAACCACGGATCGCGCCCGATATTTCCTCACAGTGTATTCAGGAATCGCGATTTCGCGAGAGATTACCTCCCAACTACTTCAGAAGCGCGCTCTCGCCTGGGAACGATGCGAAATTTATCCAGGCGCCGCGTTCTTTCTCGCTCACGAATCGTGCTCTGGCACGAGACATCCTTGAGATTTATCGGGAGTCGTACTCTCGCCTGAGGCTTCTTTCCGAGCAGTTTTTGGGGGTGGAGGGCAAAGGGTGAAATCTGACATGCCGTTTCGATTGATTTTCGAGGCTTGATTCTGCACAAGGTGAATCACAAGACGGATTGAGTTCGAGGTGTAGAAGCCCATGTGGCTTTCATCCTGAGCCCTCGACCCTAAGAAAACGCGGAGTTCTTCACAAAGTGCGAAGTTCGCTTCTACGCCCCACCCGACCCGCCCATGACGGTCCGCCGACTCGTCGGCCTGGGAGCCCGCCCTCCCGCTTTCCATGCCCCGCCCGACCTTCCCGTTAGGGCCCGCCCGACCGACCCGCCCGTCGGGGTCCACACGCCCGACCCGCCTGTTAGTCGGAGGTTGATCGACCTCCTGCCCTGACACGTCGATTAGCGAATTGGCCGTTTTCGGTTCGCGAGAGGGCGTCGCGGCCGTCATGTTTGCGTGTCCAGGTCAGTCGGTTTCGGTCCCAGGCCGTTTTCACTAAAGGGTGGTTGACTAAAGGGAGGTTTGTCCATCGCCGAGTTCGGGTCCGCTTGCCCGATCTGCCCGCTGGTGTCCGCCCGTCCGCTTGATTGAATGCCCGCCCGTCTGCTGAAATGGCACGCCCGCCCGGCCCGCCCGCTAGGTTCCGCCCGCCAGACCCGCCCGGTAGGATCCGCCCGCCCGTCTTCCTGCTTCCCCTCCCCCCCATCTTGCTGAATCGCTTTCGTCCTCAGCATTCCTCCCTTCCTCTGGCCCCACCTCCCTTGTCGTTTCCTACCCTCTTCTTCGCTCCCTCCTTCTTTCTTGTTTCACTCTTCGTATTTCAGCGGCCGCGCCAACTGCACGTGACAGGCAGGAAGATCTATCCCCCAAAGGGGGCACGATCGAAGACGAAGAGGTTGGGTATCGCGGCTTTGGGGGTACACATGGTCGTGCGCCAGCATCGACAAGGACAGTCTTGATGTGAGTCTTTTCGTTGTTTTCCCTCCGAATGTTGATCTCACTGGTGCCAGCTTCGGGAACGTCAACACCGACCCGGGATATGAACAACCAGCTTTAGGAAGGGATTTCAGGGCTCTAGGGGCCCACGGAAAGGAGGGAAAGTGCTACGTCGGAGGCCTGGGGAAACGGAGTCCGCCCACGAGGGCAAGGTGCGCGCCAGGGATTTGTCTGTATCCGCCGATTTGGACACTTTGCCCCAAGGACTTCGCGGAGCGCTGGGTGTGGAGGAGAAGGAGGACAACCAGCCGGGGGCCCCAGAGATTTGGGTTCTGGGGTAAAGGTTGTGGGCGGGAGGTGGGGGCGGAGGGACAGGACGAGGAGAGGGACCCAGGCCTCCAGAGTCTTGAAAGAACATTGCGAAGGTTTTCGCCACTCTTGGCCCCCGGGGGCCTTCACCGGGCCCGAGGACCTTCAGAAAGCTATTCGAGATGAAGAACTGGCCCCTGGGACAACGGTCGGTCGGGGCTCGGGGAGAGACGGCACATCGGATCTCTCAGCCACGGGCGGGCACCGGGCGAAATCTCAGCACACGCGGACACTTTGGGCGTCGGCGGCGAGGCAGGGGCCGTCTGCGCCAGCGGAGAGGGCCAAACGGGGGGGCCGCCAGAGCGAATTGTGCCACCACGCAAGAGGGAGCGCAGGAGGAGGGCGCGGCCGAAAGAGGGAAGCGGAGGGAGCGAGCCGCTCAGGGGGAGCGGGTCACGCCCCGAGCGCGTGGCGCGGCCAGCCCCACACGCAGACACACACGCACGCATGCCCAGCGCACGAGGCGCCCACGCGCGGTCACCAGGCGCACGAGGCGCCCACGAACTTCGGCTGACCCAACGTGGCGCCCATGGGCGAGCACCAGGCAAAACTTCGGCACGCCCACCCATCGGGGGCGGCCAAGAGGGGGGGGGGGGGGAAATCATGGCGGGGGCCATGATAGCTCCCCAGGTTTCATGGCGCTTCTTCTTATTTCATCTCGTCCCCGGCCTCCCCCCCCTGGCCCGCGCGCATGCCACCGGCCATGATTTGCGCCCGCCCCCCCTCATGGATGCTCCCCTCTTTGGACGGCCCCGAACCCAGGGCACGAGGCGCCCACCAGTGAACGCCAGGGGAAACCTCGGCAAGCCCACCCAGCGCACGGGACGCCCAGGATCGCCCACGTGCGGGCACCAGGCGAAGCCTCGGCACACGTACCCAGCATGGGGCGCCCACGAGGCACCCACGGGCGCCACCCAACCGGGCACGTGGCGAGGCCCGGCACACCGTACCAATTACCCGAAGTAAGCCAAGGCGAGCATTCGGAAACAAAGATCTCGCCATCGGAAGTCTAGGGCACATGTTTCGTCGAATCTGCAATCCGCAAGGTGTCCCAGGGCTTTGCGGAGCCATCGTGAGGTAATGCCTTCTCTTGCGGCATCCGTAGACAGGCCAGTATCTTGTGTGGCGTGCTCACCGTGTGCCCGTAAGGCCACCCTTCGGGTGATAAGAAGGCTGGGGGGCATTGGCGTTGCCTTCGATTGGCACCGGGCGCACGATTCACCCTCTGAGTGAACGCACGTTTGAACATTAACTCCGATGTATGTTCATATATAGGTTTACATATCTGCATTGCTTCCGCTTTAAGTTGTAGATTATATCGAGATATGTTGATACATGTCTATTCCCTTTTTCGGCGGCGAGCCCAGGGGGAAGTGATACGTAAAAGGCTTTCCCAGAATGCTCGGATGTCTCCAGGCCTTCTGAGAAGAGCCTTCCCCGAAGACATACAACATAATTCAGAAGGCCAGAAGGCTTCTGAAAAGTCCAGCCGCCTTCTGAGAAGGCCTCCTCTTTCTCACTTCCCCCCGTCGCTCGCCGCCGCTTTTAAGTGGCTGCTCATAAGTTGCTGCGGTGTGTATTGATTGGTTCCCAGTCGTTTGCCATTGAAATTGCAAATGCTGTCTGCGTGTCCATTGCTTTTGTTGTTGTCTTCGTTGGCTGGCAATGCGCATTAATCATATCACCACGGCCGACGAGCGGGACGACTCATTCTTGGCGGGCTTGGCCCTAGTCAGTGGACGCATTCGCACAGTTTCGTATCGCCTCGCCTGCGCCCGCGGCACGCACGAAACGAAACGATTCCTCAGATGTTGCGTTGCATAAGTTTCGGTCCCGTTCCCCCCACATCCGATCCCGTTTTCCTTCAAACAGCTGGACGATTCTTCTCCAATCGAGCTGTGGGGATGTAGCCATGTGGGACGACGGAAAGCGATGCAGGCCAACGCAAATCCAGATATGTTTGCCAGCGTGGACCCAACAGAGTATATTATGGCATTGACGGTGTGTGAGCTATGTGGTGCGAGCTATACGTGGTGCAATCCATGTAGCGCACTTCATTTGTGGAAACCACAGGCGTCAGCTACAATATTATCGCAAACATTCCACCCTCCCGCCCACAACTTGTTTCGCACAACTTATTTCGGTTGCGAGGGTGATTGCCGATCGACATTTGTTGCCGCACCTTCGCGGCCCCATTGGCGCGCGCGGGCTCAAGGGCGGGTCGACCAGCTGGTTTGGCACACATGATACGGCCGCGATGGCGCTCACTAATAGCAACTTCCCAACGCGTCTCAAAAGTCGCGCTGTCGCGTGGGCACTTCAGTGCGGATCGGTGACTCGAGCGGGCGCGATGGTGGTGCCGACATCGGCGACGACGCCGAAGGCAACGACGCTGGCGGCGGCATTGATAAACCCGACACGGACGATGGTGGTGATGACGACGATGACTTTGATGACGCAGACGACGATGATAACGATTGGGCTAGTGAGGGCGATGGGGGTGTGCTCGCCCGCAGAAGTCACGCCAACCTGCCATGATCTCGACACGCGCGCACGAAAACGTGCGCCTGTGGTCCGCATGCTATTGTTTGACAGAGTTGGTGAGCGCGCGATGGTCGGCACGCACGCGCGAGTGGGCCAATTGGTGAATGTGTCGTTAAAAAGCGGTTGGAGCTATCGAGTAGCCATGTCTTAGATGTTCTTTTTGGGGAGGACGGGCTTCGGCAGGTGATGACGTGTCATGGCGCCAACATCGCAGAGCGGATGTCGTTCGGAAAACGATAGTGTGGGCCGGGGTGTCCTGGAGAATTTCGTTCCGGATTTCGAGGTGAATTTCGTGCGGGTTATTTTTGGCCAGGAACGAAGACCAAAAAGAATCCACACGAAATTCACTGAGTTTTTCGCTAGCCGCTTCGGGCAAACATCCACGCAGAAATTCGCTGCAGCTCGTCTGCAAGGCCGGTGCAATGAGACGTGCGCGCGGCGGCGTGCGCGCGAGTTTCTTTGGGCAAAAATCAAAGGATTGCTGAAACATGGCCAGGTGGGCGCGCATAGCTTTAGATGACAGAATGGGGGGGGCAACACCTGCTGGGCTGCAGTGGTATGAAACCGCATGGAAAATGAATGATGAGGCAGAGCCAGGCGTACACTGCAGTGTCCCAGGAGGGACCGATACCCCAGGCGCAGGAGGGTTGGTGTTGCACGCTATGTTGTGCAAGGTGTTTGGTGCAAGCGATGTGGTGCAATGTATGTGGTATGTGATGCAAGCTGTGTCGTGCAGGTGAAAGCTTTGCGGTGCAAGCGCTGTGGTGCAAGCTGTGTGCTGCAAGTTGCACGGTGCAGGATATGCGGGGAAAGCCATTATGGTGTAAGCTATGTGGTGCACGGTGCGTGGTGCAGCTATATGATGTAAGATACGTGGTGTAAACCATGCGGCCGCCCAGCGCAGGAGGTGCCCACGAGGCGCCCGTGGGCGTGTACCAGGCGAAACCTTGGCTGAGCCACCCACAGGCGAGCACCACGAGACACCTCGGCTGACTACTTCGATTCCTTACGGCTTCTCAGTGGCAATTTCGTAGTGCAAGCGGCGTCAGGAGAACATTTGGGTAATCCCAGACATACCCAGATACATCTGGACAAATCGTGCAAGATCCAGCGCGAGACAAGGGGCAGCAGAACGCAGCAGAACTCGTGCAGCCATTGACGAATATCCTCCTCTTTCTTCCTCAGCAGGATCTGTGCGCAGGCTCGCCTCTGGCGGTTGCCCATTGCGCTATTCCTTGCCATTCGGCATCTTGCATTAATTGTCATTCCATCTCGTTAGACTTCTGCTGTTCTTCCTTTCTTGCCTGAGGTCGGCTACGATGAGCAAAACTGGGCTGCCAGACCGGGAGCGCTCGGGGGGTGTTCGAGGAGGCGGAGGAGGGTGAAGAAGAGCGGAAGGAGGAGGAGGAGGAGGAGGAGGAGGAGGAGGAGGAGGGGATTCGGTCCCCAGGGTCTTGATGTAGTTCGCCGTCCGTGGGCCTCCTGGTCGCGGCCTTGTCGCCACGGCTGGGTCCGGCCACGAGATCTTCACCAGAGCGCGCTCCAGGCCAGGGTTGGGGGATCGGGAGCACGAGAGGGATCCAGTGGTCTTCGAGCAGTTTGCCCGCGGTTCGCGTTTCTGTGTAGATCTCCGAGGGATGTGCAAACATGGTTAGGAGTTCGCAAGTTGGTTACGTCTGCATTTGCTGTGTTGAGTTTGGTGGTCGCAAAAGGGATTCCACAACACATGCCTTGGCACAGCATACCTCACAATCGGACGCCATGCCTCATCCCACTCTGAACGGACAGAGCATGTTACTTGTTCAGCTGGAGCGTATATTCAGTTCTTATTGTCGAGCATGTCAAGAATCCAGTGGATTCACGGTGCGTCGAATTGGCATAGAACTCACAATCTAATTGGGCTTCACATGGGCATTTCGATTGTAGAGTTTAGTGTGTTCCAGACTTGTCCAGAGTGCTGTGGTTGACCTATATATTCAGTCTTGTCTGTGTCGATTCGGGCGGTCTCATGGTGGGTGTGCCCCCCTGGAGCTGCTCCTGGGACAGCCGTGGAGTGTGGGATGATCCGTAGGGTCGCTTGGGGTCTTCGCGCCCTCGTCTCATCCTCACATCCTTCTCGTCATCCTTCATCGGAGGTTGGGGGGGTGAGTCCGACGTGAAACTGAGACCCCCCCTACCGGGAAATCGGTTTCGGTTTCGGGTTCGTGTCGTGCGTGCCGTGCGTGTGTGCGGGCGAGGCGAAGCTGCGTGGGCGGGGGAGAGGAACTCCTTCTGTGGCTGGGCCGCGGCCGGACCAAATGTAACTCCGGCGGCCGGTGCCGCGCGGTGTCCCGCCGGTGTCCCGCGGGTGTCCCGGAATCCTCCTGTGGCTGGGCTGCGGCCGGACCAAATATTTCTCCTCCGGCGGCCGGTGCCGCGCGGTGCCGCCAGTGTCCCGCTGGTGTCCCGTGGTCCCGTGGTGTCCCGTTGGGTGAGATCGATCGTGAGATCGATCGTGAGGTCGATACTGAGATCGATGTGGTGTCCCGAGGTGTCCCGTGGTGTCTTATGGTGTCCCGCTGAGTAAGATCGATAGTGAGATACATAGTGAGATCGACAGGTGTCCCATGGTGTCCCGTGGTGTCCTATGGTGTCCCGCTGAATGAGATCGATCGTGAAATCGATAGTGAGATCGAGGTGGTGTCCCGTGGTGTCCCGTGGTGTCCCGTTGAGTGAGATCGATAGTGAGATCGATAGTGAGATCGACAGGTGTCCTGTGGTGTCCCGTGGTGTCCCGTTGGGTGAGATCGATCGTGAGATCGATAGTGAGATCGATGTGGTGTTCCGAGGTGTCCCGTGGTGTCTTATGGTGTCCCGCTGAGTGAGATCGATAGTGAGATCGATAGTGAGACCGATAGTGAGATCGAGAGGTGTCCCGCGGTGTCCCGTGGTGTCCCGCTGAGTGAGATCGATCGTGAGATCGATAGTGAGATCGATGTGGTGCCCCGAGGTGTCCCGTGGTGTCCCGTTGAGTGAGATCGATAGTGATATTGATCGTGAGATCGATAGTGAGATCGATGTGGTGTCCCGAGGTGTCCCGTGGTGTCTTATGGCGTCCCGCTGAGTGAGATCGATAGTGAGATCCATCGTGAGATCGACAGGTGTCCCGTGGTGTTCCTTGGTGTCACGTGATGTCCCGTTGAGTGAGATCGATCGTGAGATCGATACTGAGATCGATGTGGTGTCCCGAGGTGTCCCGTGGTGTCCCGTGGTGTCCCGTTGAGTGAGATCGATAGTGAGATCGATAGTGAGATCGACAGGTGTCCCGAGTTGTCCCGTGGTGTCCCGTTGAGTGAGATCGATAGTGAGATCGATAGTGAGACTGATAGTGTGATCCATGTGGTGTTCCGAGGTGTCCCGTGGTGTCTTATTGTGGCCCGCTGAATGAGATCGATAGTGAGATCGATAGTGAGACCGATAGTGAGATGGAGAGGTGTTTTTGCGGTGTCCCGTGGTGTCCCGTGGTGGCCCGTGGTGTCCGTGGTGGCCCGTTGAGTGAGACCGATAGTGAGATCGACAAGTGTCCCGTGGTGTCCCGTGGTAGCCCGTGGTGTCCCGTGGTGTCCCGTTGAGTGAGATCGATAGTGAGATCGATTGAGTCAGATGTTCGTTCCCCCCCTCTCCCCGCGCACCACCTCCTTATCACCCAAATCCTTCAGACCCTCCCATTTCTTCATACAATTCCCCAGTGTCCCCCCTCCCCTTCCTCCTCCGCCCGTTCCTCCTGCCTCCACGTCTCTCCCCTCAGCGTTCCTTGTTTCCTCCCTGCGGTGTTCCCATCTGGCGTTTGCGGCCGTCCTTTCGATGTTGCCCTGCCCCGGCTGGGGTTATTCGTGGCGGGGTAGGTCAGTCTTCACAGACTTGTGTTGGTCAGAGCAGCCGTTGGTTTCTCCTATATCGAAGACGCCTACGGCGAATCACCGCCGCCCCCTGCCTTTGTGGAAGCGCCTATGTGGCCGAACGTTGAGGCCAGACCTGCCAAGCTATCAGATCATGTGTTCCCCGAATCGGTTTGGAAAGCCTTCGGGGAAAACGTGGGCATCTTGAAGGTCATCTTGGCCGTCGGGAGGCCAATTTGACCCTTTCGGGCTTTCTTGGAGGACGTCTTGGAGGGCTATTGGGCCGTCTTGGAGGCCATCTTGAGCGTCTTGGAGGCCTCTTGGGCAGTCTTGGGGGCCTCGTGGGGCCGTCTTGGGCCTATTGGACGAGCTTTGTGGGCTCTTGGGCCGTCTCGGGCCGTCGGAAGGCCGAACAAAAAGCAAATGCCACAATCCTTTAAACTAACTCAGGTTTTGGCCTTTTCGGGCATTCCTGGAGGCCCTCTTGGAGGCTTCTTGGGCCGTCTTGGGCCAGCTTCGAGCCAACTTCGGCCATCTTGGTGGGTTCCTGGCCCGTATGACGCCGTCGGGAGCCGTCTTGGTGGCCTCTCTGAACCGACTTGGGGTCCTCTTGGGGCGCTTCGGGGCCGTCTTGGAGGCCATCTTGGGCGTCTTGGAGGTCTCTTTGGCCGTCTTGGGGCCCTCTTGGGGCAGTCTTGGAGGCCTCTTGGGCCGTCATGGGGTCCTCTTGGAGGCCTCGTGGGCGATCTTTGGGGGATCTTTGGGTGCTCTTGGGCCGTCTCGGGCCGTCGCAAGGCCGAAAAGAAGCAATTGCCAACATCCTTCAAAAACCATAGGCAAATCAATGTTTTTGGTTTTGTTCTGCCCTTCCTGGTGGCCCTCTTGGAGGTCTATTGGGCCGTCTTGGGCCAGCTTCGAGCCAACTTCGGCCATCTTGGTGGGTTCCTGGCCCGTATGACGCCGTCGGGAGCCGTCTTGGTGGCCTCTCTGAACCGACTTGGGGTCCTCTTGGGGCGCTTCGGGGCCGTCTTGGAGGCCATCTTGGGCGTCTTGGAGGTCTCTTTGGCCGTCTTGGGGCCCTCTTGGGGCCGTCGTGGAGGCCTCTTGGGCCGTCATGGGGCCCTCTTGGAGGCCTCGTGGGCGATTTTGGGGCGATCTTGGCGGCCTCTTGGGCCGTCTTGAGCCGTCGGTAGGCCGAAAAGAGGCACATGTCAACACCCTTCAAAAACCTAAGGAAGATCAATGATTTTGGCCTCTTCGGGCCCTCCTGAAGGACCTCTTCGAGACCTCTTTGGCCGTCTTGGGCCGTCTTGGAGGCTTCTTGGGTGAACTTGGAGGTATCTTGGACCCTCTTGGGCCGTCTTGGAGGCCATCTTGGACCATCTTGGGCGGATTTGGAGGCCATCTTGGACCATCTTGGGCGAGCTTGAGGGCCATCTTGGCTGTCTTGGAGGCCATCTTGAGCCGTCTTGGAAGATTTTTTGTGGACGCTGAGGTGGTTTACGCGGCCTTCCGGGACCCCGGCGGAACGCGCCGAAGCCCCAGGGGGAGCTCTTTGGGAAAAAGAACCCAAAACCCAAACCGAGAGGATTCAGCACGCCAGGCACCCCTGCGATGAATCGACAGGGGGCGGCGGATCGAAGACGCCTACGGCGAATCACCGCCGCCCCCTGCCGTTGTGGAAGCGCCTATGTGGCCGAACGTTGAGGCCAGACCTGCCAAGCCATCGGACCATGTGTTCCCCGAATCGGTTTGGAAAGCCTTCGGGGAACACGTGGGCATCTTGAAGGTCATCTTGGCCGTCTTGGAGGCCTCTTGGGCGATCTTTCGGCGATCTTTGTGGGCTCTTGGGCCGTCTCGGGCCGTCAGAAAGCAGAAAAGGAGAAGATGCCCAAATCCGTCAAAAACCAAAGGAAAATCAATGTTCTTGGCCTCTTCTGGCCTTCCTGGAGGCCCTCTTGGGGGCCTCTTGGGCCCTTTTGGGCCAGCTTCGAGCCAACTTCGGCCATCTTGGTGGGTTCCTGGCACGTCTGACGCCGTCGGGAGCCGTCTGGGGGGCCTTTCTGGGCCAACGGGGGACCCTCTTGGGGCGCTTCAGGGCCGTCTTGGAGGCCATCTTGGGAGTCTTGGAGGCCATCTTGGGCGTGTTGGAGGCCTCGTGGGCCGTCTTGGGGCCCTCTTGGGGCCATCTTGGAGGCCACTTGGGCCGTCATGGGGCCCACTTGGGGGCCTCTTGGGCGATCTTGGGGGCCTCTTGGGCCGTCTGGAGCCGTCGGAATGCCGAGAAGAAGCACATTCCCAAATCCTTCACAAACCAGAGGAAAATCAATGATTTTGGCCTCTTCGGGCCCTCCTGGAGGACCTCTTGGAGGCCTCTTGGACCGTCTGGGTGGGAGGCCTCTGGGGGGCCTCTTGGCCCGTCTGGGGCCGTCTTGGGCTCTCTTGGGCCGTCTTGGAGGCCGTCTTGGACCATCCTGGGCGGACTTGGAGGCCATCTTGGACCATCTTGGAGGCCATCTTGGCCATCTTGGAGGCCATCTTGAAGTGTTCCCCGAATCGGTTTGGAAAGCCTTCGGGGAACACGTGGGCGTCTTGAGGGTCATCGCAGCCGTCTTGGAGGCCTCTTGGGCGATCTTTCGGCGATCTCTGGGGGCTCTTGGGCCGTCTCGGGCCGTCAGAAAGCAGAAAATAACAAAATGTCAAAATCCGTCAAACACCAAAGGAAAATTACCTAACAGCGAAGACTGATAGGTTTCTAGTGGGATCAAAAGAGAGCAGCAGATCACTCCACAGGGGGGTCCGGGCAGGTGTTGGGAGTTGCCGGGCGGCAGGTGCCGGGCTCGTTTTTCACCAACAGTCACACACTTCGTGCTCTTCGACTTCCCAGAACTCCATTCCCAGGCCACATTCTCAATACCCGGATGCAACAGTCACACACTTCGTGCTCTTCGAGATCCCAGAACGCCATTCCCGGGCCACATTTAGAATAACCGGATGCAACAGTCACACACTTCGTGCTCTTCGACATCCCAGAACGCCATTCCCGGGCCACATTCTGGAGGGCCGTATGCAACAGTCACACACATCGTGCTCTTCGAGTTCCCAGAACTCCATTCCCGGGCCACATTTTGGATGCCCGGAGCCAACTGTAGGCCACTTCGTGCTCTTCGATTTCCCAGAACTCCATTCCCGGGCCACATTTTGAATGCCCGGAGCCAACTGTAGGCCACTTCGTGCTCTTCGAGTTCCCAGAACTCCATTCCCGGGCCACATTTTGAATGCCCGTAGCCAACTGTAGGCAACTTCGTGCTCTTCGACTTCCCAGAACTCCCATTCCTGGGCCACATTTTCAGCAGGGGCAAGAGCACGACGAGGAGGAGGACGAGCAAGACCAGGAGGACGAGGACGAGCAGGAGCAGGACGAGGAGCAGGAGGAGCAGGAGAAGAAGGACGAGCAGGAGGAGGAGGAGGACGAGCAGGAGGAGGAGGACGACCAGGAGGAGGAGGACGACCAGGAAGAGGAGGAGGAGGAGGAGGAGGAGGGGGAGGAGTACCAGGAGGAGGAGGAGGAGGAGGAGGAGGAGGAGGAGGAGGAGGAGAGGAGGAGGACGAGGACGGGAGGAGGAGGAGGAGGGGGGGGGAGAGTACCAGGAGGAGGAGAACGAGGACCACCAGGAGGAGGAGGAGGAGGAGGAGGAGGAGGAGGAGGAGAGAACACCAGGAGGAGGAGGACGAGCAAGACGAGGAGGACGAGAACGAGGACGACCAGGAAGAGGAGGAGGAGAGAGGAGGAGGGGAGGGGGAGGACTACCAGGAGGAGGAGGAGGAGGAGGAGAGGAGAGAAGAGGAGGAGGAGGACGAGGAGGAGGAGGAGGAGGACGAGGAGGAGGAGGGGGGGGGAGAGCACCAGGAGGAGGAGAACGAGGACCACCAGGAGGAGGAGGAGGAGGAGGAGGAGGAGGAGGAGGAGGAGGAGGAGGAGAGAGCACCAGGAGGAGGAGGACGAGCAAGACGAGGAGGACGAGAACGAGGACGAGCAGGAGGAAGAGGAGGAGGAGGAGGAGGAGGAGGAGGAGGAGCAGGAGAAAGAGGAGGAGGAGGAGGCAGGCTGAGGCTGAGGCTGTGACTGCGACTGCCGTTGCCGCTGCGACTGTCATCGCGAATGCGACTACGACTGCGAGAACAGCAGAATTCGACAACTGGATTTTCATCTGAATCTTAAGGGGAATGCTTTCAGATATGCTTCTACACATCGCTGTTAGGTTGCTTTGCCGGGATAATCAATGTTTTTGACATCTTCTGGCCTTCCTGGAGGCCCTCTTGGGGGCCTCTTGGGCCCTTTTGGGCCAGCTTCGAGCCAACTTCGGCCATCTTGGTGGGTTTCTGGCATGTCTGACGCCGTCGGGAGCCGTCTGGGGGGCCTTTCTGGGCCAACGGGGGACCCTCTTGGGGCGCTTCGGGGCCGTCTTGGAGGCCATCTTGGGAGTCTTGGAGGCCATCTTGGGCGTGTTGGAGGCCTCGTGGGCCGTCTTGGGGCCCTCTTCGGGCCATCTTGGAGGCCACTCGGGCCGTCATGGGGCCCACTTGGGGGCCTCTTGGGCGATCTTGGGGGCCTCTTGGGCCGTCTGGAGCCGTCGGAATGCCGAGAAGAAGCAAATTCCCAAATCCTTCACAAACCAGAGGAAAATCAATGATTTTGGCCTCTTCGGGCCCTCCTGAAGGACCTCTTGGAGGCCTCTTGGACCGTCTGGGTGGGAGGCCTCTGGGGGGCCTCTTGGCCCGTCTGGGGCCGTCTTGGGCTCTCTTGGGCCGTCTTGGAGGCCGCCTTGGACCATCTTGGGCGGACTTGGAGGCCATCTTGGACCATCTTGGAGGCCATCTTGGCCATCTTGGAGGCCAGCTTGGAGCCGTCTGGGGCAGAAAATTGGGGAAGTGAGGTTCGTGGAACAAATCCCGGGACCTCGGCGGGACGGGCCGAAACCCACTGGGAGAGTTCTTGTGGAAAAAGAGCCAAAACCAAAACCGATAGGATTTGGCACGCCGGGCACCCCTTTGCTGAATCAAAAGGGGGCGGCGGATCTCGTGGCATTCGGCCCATTCCGCCACCGTGCCTTGGCTGGTGGCCAGAAGCCTCTCGATTGCTTGTGGGGATCTGCGGGAGGCCTCTCGGAAGCCTCTTGGAGGCGGGTAGGGGATGGCTTCGGGGTCTCTTGGGGGCCTCGTCAGGGCTTTTTGGGGGGCTGAGTTGGACCTCCTGGGGGCCTCCTAGGGGCTCGTCGGGGCTTCTTGGGGGCTTGCTGGCTTTCTCAAAGGTCGTGTTGGGGCGGAGAGCTCGAGATGCCGGTCCATGGTCCTCCTCTGGAGCTTCTCTCAGGCTTGTCATGGGGCCTTCTTGGGCCGTTGTGGGGGCCTCTCGGGCCGTCTTGTGCGCCAGTTGGGTCGTCTTGGGGCGATCGTGGGAGCCTCTTTAGTCGTCTTGCGGCGACCGCGGGGGCGTCTTGGGCCGTCTTGGAGCGTCGGAAGCTCGAACAGGCGAGAACACCTAGAGTCTGTTGCGCATCGAAATGAGGTCAATGATGTCGGCCGCTCGGGACCCTTTTGAAGGTGCTCGTGGAGCTCTCGTGGAGCGTATCGGAGGCCTCTTGGGCCAGCCTCGAGGCAATCTTGGCGTCTTGGAGCGATCTTCCAGCGACTCTGAGCCCTCTTCGACTCGATGACACACGGAGGGCCCTAGGAGAGTCGTGGCAAGCCGAAGGAGATCTGTGAATGTGGCGTCCAGGCCCCTTCAGACGCAATCCTCATGGCTGAGAACAGAGGACTCCAAGGGACCCCAGGGCACTCCAACTCGTGCCTCGCGGCGCGCTGGCGGATTGTTTCACAACAGGCAGGCTAGGGATAGCTCGGGTGCCCTGTCAATAGCAGCAAGTTGTTCTGCAGAGCGAGGTCAATCCAGGGACCAGCTCGAGGTGTATTGACAGTTCGTGTGATCGCACGGAGTGGCCGCCACTGAACGTAAACGCACGGCTACGCAACGTTGTATTGTGTCGCTTGCTCCCCTTGCACGCAGCAACTGCTCTTTCGCGCACCGCCCGAGGAGCAGCACCAGTTCCTGGACATATGTAGGAATGGAGATTTTGAGAGGGTCAAGGAGTACCTAACAGTGAACCCTCTCTACATCAACGTGCAACCAGGCGGTCGATGGTCGGCGCTGCACCAGTTCGCTTTCCACGGGGACAGCGAGGCCATCCAATACTTGCTCGGCAAGCTGGCGGACCCGAGTGCTAAGACATCGGAGGGTCACACTCCAGCAGAGGCTGGAGGGTCTTCCCGAAACCACTGCTCACTGACGATCGGGGTATTGTTGAGATGAGGGCGCCTCGTGTTAAGCTGTACTGCTACCATGGGTGCCTGTACACATGGACAACGGAAATAACTAGATCTCTGGTGCGGTGGTTGGGGCTGGGTCTGGAGCGCCCCAGGAGGGCCCAAGACGTGCCCAGAGTTCCCCACGAGGGCTCCAAGACGGGCCAGGAAGGCACGATGGCCCCCCAGATCACCCCAAGACGGCTCAAGAGGCTCCCAAGAAGGCCTCGAGTCGCCGCAAGGAGGCCCCAAGACGGTGCAAGAAGTGCTCAAATCGGACCTACAGGGCCTTCACAGGGCCCCCCAGAGAGGTGCAAGAGGGGAAACTCGAATTGAGACTTCGAGCCTTCCGCCCCTAGAGGGCCGCCGAGACCGCCAGCAGGCCCCCAAGAGGCCCTCAGGAAACTCAAAAGAGGTTAAAAGGGTCCCCAAGAGGCCCCAAGAGGCTTCCCGAAAGGCCCCAGTAGCTTTGACCACGCATCTCACAAACGACCGCGCGCCACAGCCGTGCCTACCCGATCGTATAACCAGCCGGCGAACCAATTAGTACGGCGACGGTAAGGGGGTTGGAGGGGGGAGGACCAACTGATGACAATTGTGATGATTGTGATGGGGACGATTCTGAGGATGCGCTCTCTAGTTGGTGACGCTGCATGATGGCGATGTGATGCGTGACAATGCGTGATGGCGATTGTGATGGTGGCGATGCATGGCGACGACGCTGGTGATGAGCGGGGCATCGCAAACCAGCAGCACGCAGCAGCACAAGTTCCCAAAGGCCCCCACAACTCAAGTTAGCATACTACATGCAGCTGTTGTGCATCCACCTCTCTCAGCAGGGGAAGCCCTGGGATACACCCCAAAGGGGCTATTCGGACGCACCCCTTTCGAGGATGGTCGCCCCCCATCGTATGTCCCAGAGTTGGGCCCCAACTGTCTTTTCGATTCGAAAACCTACCAAAGCATGGGATAGGGTCGACATATCCCCTGTGACTTCCCGCTTGTCAGGGACACCATCCCTCCCAGCAGGCATCGGGGAGCTGGGGGAGAGCATTCCCACCACCAGGCCTAGGCAGGCCCCGCCTCGGCCCAGGTCTCGGTGCAGGTGCCCGCCCGGGCTTGCCCGGGGCAGCGAGTGTGCACCAGGATCTGGGCCTGCGAAGGCCAGGTGGTTTCCAGGCCGCCCAAAGGGGGGTCGGAGTCGACGGGGTCGGTGGGTCGCGCGGCGTTGCCAGATGCCTCTGCGCGGTGTGGAGCCCGACGCTCCCCACGCCGACATCACCGACGCGGCGCGATCCGGACCCCGCTTGGGCGGCCTCCCCGGCGGTGGTGGTATGCGCCTCCAGCTCCCCGCGGCAGGTTGCGCAGCAAAGGGTCGTGTCGTTGCTGCGGACGAGGTCCCAGGCGGCCAGAGCCAGGCCGAGCGCGCCGATGCAGGCGGGCGGCGGGGGGCTGCCGGGAGGGCCTGCTTTTCACGCGTGGCCAGCCTGGGCAGAAGTTTGGGGGAGGGAGGAGGAACGGACGCCTCGAGCGCTCGCTTTCGCGGCATGCCCAAGAAAAGGAGGCGGGTAATAGAGGACGAGCAAGAGGAGGAGGAGGAGGAGGAGGAGGAGGAGGAGGAGGAGGAGGAGGAGGAGGAGGGGGAGGAGGGAGAGGGCACTGACTCGCCAGGTCCCTTTCTCCAGCGCTCGGCCTGCCGCGCGCAGGCTCGGCTCTGATCTGGCCGATGCGGTTCCCCTCTCCCTTCGCTCGGGTCTGTAGAACGTTGCCGGCTCGGTGTCCCTGCCGATCTGATCTGTACCGATCCGCAAGCGAGTCCGGCCCGTTGTGCATCCGGCTTCCTGGCAGGCGAGGGGGCGGGTCACTTGAACAGCAGCGGGCGTAGCCGGAAGCCAACAGGATCAGGGGTCTCCTGCACGGGGGGAGGGTGGTGACACGTGTCAGGCCACCCAGAGGCGTGGGGTGTGACCCTCGAAGCCATTGCCGTTTGTCGGCCTCCTTCGACTGGAGGGGTACCCCCAGTGTTGGTGGTGGTGCCAGCGTGCGGGGGAAAGGAGGGGGGGGGAGCGGTGGCTACAGGTCTCGGCGCAGATCTCCTCGCAGGTGCCCCCCCCCCCCCCCTCCCCTTCCGCTTCCGCCCGAGGCAGAGGCAGGAAGGTGGATGCAGGTACGGGTGGGTTCTTTCGGCTTGCTCCGGGGTGGGGCGAGGGAGGGTCAGGTGGTCTCTGCCCTGGGATCATGCCCCCACCTCATTTTCGTCGTGTTCCTCCTCCGTCTCGCTGCGCACCCGTCCTGGCCTGTTGGGGAGGATGATGGAGCGATGTGGAGGACGAGGAGGAGGAGAAGGAGGAGGAGGCGAGGATGAGGGAGGGAGGAGAGAGTATTTGTTCTTACCTTTCTCTTTGGCATACGTTGCCTTAGATCACTGTCATGCGGCTTCGGAGCATATGTGGCATTACAGCGTCGGGGGCATACCATCTTCAGCCTGTCGAACTCTGTAGCTACCAAGTTGCTAGTTGGACCTGAGGCGACAGGTAGAGGCGTTGTCGTCACCCCGCGCGCGGCATATCGATTGGCGACATTGGTGGCTTTGCTTCCGCGGAGGAGGAGAGAAGGGACTAAGGCAGGTAGGGAGAGTGTCTCGTAAGCCAGCTGGAAAACAATGGGTTCTGACAGATGATTGGCCTTCTGTGTACTCCATGCTCTGCGAATAAGGATCGCATCCCTCTTCTTATGCTTTGTATACTTGCTGTCGTTGGCTAGGCTCCGCGTAATCCACATCTGAAGGGGGGGTGGGAACGAGCATGTGTGAGCAGGATTACGCAGACCATCACTATGGAGGCGAAGTGGCACGCTCGTTCTGCAGATCACCCACGACACGAATGGTTATTCCTGCTGTCAATTGATCTCGGATCCAGCTGGATCACTCCGATATGTCTGACTGTGCTTCACCGAACGCGTTGGACAATTCGAAGTCCCCGCCACATGTTCACAAGAGATGTACCATCGGCGCGGGTTCACTCGACGCTGTCTCTGTTGGGAAAGGGTGGACGGGTGGTCCGTCTACAGCAGGTTCGGCGGATGTGGTTCCAAGAATGTCATTCTCACTTGAGTATCTCGGAGTCCGAAGGAAGAGGGGCGAAACCCGCCTTCACACTCGAGCAAGCTGGCCCGTCGACGGAGCACATCTTGGAGTTGCCAGCTCGTGCGCTAACGCTCCTCCATTTCCTTGTCATGGGTTCCTGTTTCGATGCTCTCCGTTCTGCGTCCTGGCGGTTAGGAAGTTCATAGAACACGCATGCCTCATCGTTGGGGTAGAAAGCGGCGCCATGGGACAGCCCCCCCGGCACTCCTCGCTCTCTTCTCCGAACTTGCAGCCATCCGCCTTGGTCTCCGCGTCCCCATTGAGCGCATCAAGACTCGGAGACCTCGCCTAGCATCCCTTAGCAAACTTCGTTTCTGTTTTAGGATCCGTGGTGTCGCTCAGCAGCAGCTATGCGGTTTTCCTCTTCGGCGCGGTAGAGGCAGGCAAGTCATCTCCTCCTCTCCCTCATGACGAGGTCCTGGCGTCCCCTCCTTCCCCCACCTCCTCTGCCCTGTAACTCCCTCCATCTTCCCCGTGCTCCGCCCGCGCGGGTCGGCGCGAGCGTGGCCGAGGGAACACCCCAGGGCCGCGCCCCCCCCCCTCCCCCGCCCTGGCCGGGGCGGTGCCATAGCGTGCGTCCCTCCGGGCCCCTGGGGAGGAGCAGGAGCCGGAGCAGCGGGAGCAGCGGGCAGCAGCAGAGGGGGTGGGTCGGAGGTTGGTAGTCCTCCTACCCTGACGCGTCGATCAGCGAATTGGCCGTTTTCGGTTCGCGGGAGGGCTTCGCGGCCGTCAGTTTTGCGGGTCCAGGTCCGTCGGTTTCGGTCCTGGGCCGTTTTCATGACATGGAGGCTTACTGAAGGGAGGTTTGTCCACCGCCGAGTGGGAGAGAGAGAGAGAGAGAGACAGGGGAGCCGCAAAAGTGCGCGCGCCTCTCCAGACTCCCGTGCGGCCGCCGAACGCGTAGCGCCGGCGGCTCGAGGGGCCGCGCCCGTCCGCGGCCCCTCGAGCCTGTCCAACGGCCAGAGGCTCGCGCCCGTCCGCGGCCCCCACAGCGCCGAGCGGCGGCGCTGGCCCGGTGAGCCCGAGGGGCCCCCGGTGCTCGGCGGCGGCTGCGCGTGAGAGTGGCCTTTCGCCAGGGTGGCCTCTGCTGCGGGCCCACAGGGACCCCGAAGGCATTGGCTGGCGCGCTCGCGTCTGCCCCCCCCCCCCCCGCGCGGCTTCACAACTCCGCGCACCACAGGTCACTCTTGACTATAGGGCCACTTTTGCGTGCAGCCGATGGTGCGTCTCGTATCGGCGCCTGCTCGGTGGATCTCGCGCGGGAAGAGACACGTTTCTCGAGCTTTGGCCAGGCGACCTGTTGGACCGCAGGGGTTCGGGGCTGAAGAGATGCCCGTGGAATGCGTAAGGCAGCAGCGCCGAGGGGCAAGTATCAGCACACTGGGCCCTCGGCTCCGGGAGCTGTGCTTGAATCATCCCCCTCCCCCCTCGCCTCCAACGATGGTCGATGGGGGGGCAGATGGAGCCGAAGCGGAGGATTAGAAGGAGTGAGAGGACTTGTGTCAAGTTGGAGCGATGTGAGATGCCACGCTGATGATCTCCAGTGTTCTGGTGATCAGCGGACACCTTTCACTGTCAGGCCCGGCGGTGCCATCCAATATTGCTGCCATGCCAG